TTAGTAATAAAACTATTAATAGTATTAATTAGTCTAATTTTTTTTTCATTTTTTCATTTTAAATTAATTAGTGGCAATTAATGGTTTAATAAGCATCAATTAATAGTAAAATTATTAATAGTATCAATTAATGTAATTTTTTTTCATTTTTTCATTATAAATTAATTAGTCTCAATTAATTAGCATCAATTATTAATAATTAATTAGCATTTTTTCATTCATTAATTATTATTATTTTTATTAAAAAAACACTGAAAAACCTCCCAAAAAAAAAATGGAAGCCCTAGCTCCGGCGGGATGAACCTACGTTAGGGTTTCAGATTGATCCACAGAAAGAGAGAGAGAGAGAGCTGTTGTCACGCCGGCAGCCACTTCTTCTCATCCTCTTCCTTTTCATCTCACCGCCGACATCAATCGCGAAGAGGAAGAGAGAGCTAGGGTTCACGCAGTTGATCACGATGGTTCAGATCTCCTCCTTCTCATCTCATCGCCAGCGTCAATCGCAAAGAGGGGGAGAGAGCTAGGGTTCACGCTGTTGATCGTGATGGAGAGTGATCGGAGAACAAATGGGGGAGAGAGAGACAGGCAAAGAGGGAGAGAGGGAGAGAGAGAGAGAAGAGACCGAGTTGTTCGCCGAAAATCGCTTGGGTTTGCCAGAAATCGCCTCTCCCGTTTGTGTGAAAGAGAAAAAAATGAGTGTTCTTGGTTTATATACATGGCACACTTGTAATTAGCATGAATTGGGAAGGACATTTAAGTCATTTTTCCTTGGAGGGATCAACTGCGTGCTTAAGCTCAATTTATAAGCACCCTTGGAGCAACTTTCAGATTTAAGCCGAAAATGGCTTAAATTAAGCTATAATTTGTGTCTTATAAGTTGTACCAAACACACCAATATAGCTTAATTTAAGTCAAAAGTTGATTTAAGCTGAAAAAAAGTTTTACCAAACAGGCATAATAAATCAAAACAAAATACCACAAAAATTATAAATGAGCATAAGTATTTTAAAAATTGTCACCAAAAAACTTTTGCAACAAGGCTTTGGCGACCCATTTCTTGTCTACCAAAATGTTTGTGGTCTTCATGTCTCGGTGTATGAAACTAATGTAGCGGTCTTCACATCTCGGTGTATGAAACTTTGTTAGGTGCCCGTATCAAGATAGTCTAATCTGCGTGCAGCACCAATGAAAATATTGAGCCTTTGATCCCAAGTGAGACCAATTCCATCTCCTCCTGTACTAATTTTGTAGAGATGATCAGCAAGGGTTCCATGGGCTATGTATTCGTAAACAAGAATCATCTCATTGCAGTCGTTGCAGTACTCGATAAGAGCGACAAGATAAGTGTACCAAAGCTGGGAAAGCATCTCTATCTCAGTCCAAAACTCATCAGCACCTTGGTTGGACTTTGGATTCAACCTCTTTACAGCGACAATTGTGGAACCATCGTCGATGTACCCTTTATAAACTTTCCTGAATCCGCCACTCCAATAACCATTTGATCATCGAAGTTGTTAGTGGCGGATTGTATCTCAGCAAGTGAAAAGAACCGAGACAGTGATTCGTATTGAATCTCACATTTTCCCATTGCATTCCGACCCAACATGTTTTTGCTCTTCTCCAAAGATCATGATTCTGATCACCAAATGTAAAAGAGAAGAAAAAACAACCCAATAGAGGTTTTTTGGGGCTGATGCAAATTTATGAGGAAGAAGATGGAGTAAAAGAGCAGATTATGATGGGCATGGCCTAGGAGGGCCCAACTCACGATTGTCTCGGGTTACCCAAGCAATCACTTGGTTAAAGCCTAGCGGCAGGCCCAATAGGGAACTTGCACCGGTCCAGGCCTAGTGGCATTTAGACATGTGTTAGGTTGGGGGGTTAGTCACGTGGCAGACACAGATCCTGTAGAGTTATTGAACCTATACACTAAGCATTAAATGAGACTGTCAAAGCATTTAATGCAACAAGAGCTCTGGTTTTGGGACGTGATGAAACTACCATGGCCGACGGCGAGTAGGTTGCAGGCTTTTGGCCAATGAGACAACATCAATGGACAAAGAAATGATTAGTAAGAGACATAGAAAGCTCCTGAGAAACGTTTTGATAACAAGTAATTCACTCTCTCTCTCTGCTATCAACCTTCTCTCTAATATGTTATTTCAACTTCATTCACATCTAACTTGATCGTCGGAGGGTCCACAGAGAGGTATCACCCCTAGTTTGGAGCCTTTCTATTGGACTTGTTGGAGGTGAGATTAGGAAGACAAATGACAGCCAACTCGTGGAGTGCTTGGATTAGTCCGGTCCATCTTGTTCGCACCAACTGCATTATCAGATTATAATTTGAGAGAATGAGAAATGGAATTGGTCCTTGTTCATGTTTTGAAGAACAAATATTAAGAAATTAGAATGAATGGGGTGTGGAAGGTTCAATGCGGTGAGATTGAAAGTGTCTTTGTCTTCATCAATGGGTCAGCAATGGCACTGATGCCTATTAAAAAAATTGAGGATGTGCTATTAAAAATTGAGGATGTGCTTTTCATCAAAATGAGGCCTAACAAGGGGCTTGTGACTAAACAAAATCTTTAATGTAACCTTCATTTTAGTAAGATTAAAATGATTGAAACTAATACAAATGATAGATAAATATTAAAATTCATAAAGATAAATATATATATTTTAGTAGAAAAAAAATGACAGACACATACCAGAAAATGCCAAAAAAAAAAAGTCATATTATTAGATGGATGTAGACAGACAGCAAATATGTAAGGATAATATGATCCGTTTCAAATTATTGTCCTTTTGGCTCAAAAGTTTTGCAATTGAACTTGTGCTCCAAGGGCCTAAAAAAAATAAAATTGTTGTAAGTGAAATTATAAAAATTGCATTAAATTGATACAAAAAGTAAACTACAAGAACTATTATTATAATTTGCAAATTTCTTTGGCAAATCTCATCCACTTGCAAACCAAATTATACTAATGCTTCAATTCCAGAGTAGTTGCTGCAGAAAACAATTTAAAACGGTGATGATGAAATTGTTAAAAACTAAAAATTTCAATTATGCAATTCTATACTCTGCGTGATAACTTAACTTGCTCTGATGCTAAAATAATACGACACTTCTGAGTGGATTTCACCATTAAAACGAGCTTAGGTGATGATGTCCAATGTTGGGATGACTATATTTTATTTATCTCACAAGGCATGCATAGTGAGAAAATTAATTGTCAATTATTAAAGACTTACAAGGATTCTAAAGCCCATTTCTTAATTCCCAAAACAGTTTGCTACTTTAAGAAATTTGGAATCCAATGGTTGGTGATGACCTGTAATCTCTGCCCATGTGAATAATGACAGTAACAAACTTTCCATGCCAGGAGTGACATCAATTTTCTATGCCACTCGGTGCAGCTCAAAGCATGTGCAACTATTAATGAGCCGACTTTCATATCATAAAAAATACTGTATAAATTAATAAATTTTATAAATATTTTTTACTATCAAATGTGTCATGCAATAAAAATAATTTTGAAATATAAAACACGATCTGCTTCAATAATATGACAAGTGTCATGTCAGTGAACAAGATTTTTTTTTTTTTTATAAATTTTATTATTTTATGGAAAATGTCTCGTAGCTCAAATTTTGTGGCTCAAAAGTGGCTCAAATGGCCAAAACGACGTCGTTTTGGCCATTTTTATGTTGTTCTGTACTCAAAACGACGTCGTTTTGGCCATTTGAGCCACTTTTGAGCCACAAAATTTGAGCTACGTAGCATTGTCGTTATTTTATATAGCTTAATCAATTGCCTCATAATAAAAGAATCTCACACTCTTACTAAAATTTGAGAGGGAGTCACTAAAATCCCTTTCACTGTATATTTTTTGATTTTTTATAAAAAGATATATAGAAAAATAAAGATGAGATATTGATTGATGTGACTCAAAAAAGTATACTCATATAAAAAAGTGCACTTATATAGTTTAACCCAAACAAGGCCCAAATTGAGCTTTACTCAAATTTTGATTTAAATTAAAGGACATGTATTTCATTTAATCAAATTTCTATCCAATCAAAACTTGACACGCAGATGCTTCTACCCAAATTTTCAGATTCTCCTTTAGCATTCACTCAAAACTTAACACTCGACAACTTTTACCCAAATTTCAGTTTAGGAAATTCTATGTACACACCCCTTTGGGGAACTGTACCATACACATCATTTGTTACCATCTTTGTGTCTATGGTTCCGACCTACTGTGTTGTTAGTTATTTTGAGTTATGTCGTTTGTCATAATCAAACTCACAAATAACATAACTTGTATTTAAAGTTATATTCCATGACATTACCATTGAGTTTATTGATTAGAATATTTCATATCAAATAGAAATTTTTAGTGGATGTTTGGGAAGTAGGTTTTTTTGTAAGTTTTTTTAGTTGTAAGATATTATTAGAGAAATTTTTTTTTATATTTGGGAAAATAGTTGAATTTTTTTGTGGTTGGATGTGATGTTTGTGAGAGAAAAAGTGAAATGATTATAGGGTTTGATGTGATATTTTGTTTGGATTTTTTTTTTTAATTTTGTAAAACATTTATCTTGTAATAAAAAAAAAAAACAAAAAAAAAAACCTAAAAAATTTGTTGCCAAACACCGCCTTAATCAAGCTTCTACTCAATTTGAGTAAAAGTAGAAGGATTGGAAATGGCCTACGTGGGCTGACCTTATCTTGCTACACGTTGCTCACATGCACCAAGATATTCCAGAAGTTTCATGTGACCACAGGTGAGAATGATAAGAGAAACAGAAAGTAAAGAAAAAGCAGCAAATCTTTGTCCCTCATGAATCATGATAGACAATCAATCACATACAATTATTAAGGCTACCCAAAAGAGAAAGTTGAGTGAAAAATGGAGACCAAGTGGAAGAAAAGATGCTCTTCATGTCTCCACCTGACAACACTACTAGCCCGGGGCGGGGCTATGTGTAATTCAGTGGTGTTAGTTAACACCACTGAACTTTCAAGTTTTGTTTAAATATATATGAAATTTTGTTTAATAGTTTTCGATTTTAACAAAATGACTCTAGTGTTTGGAGCTATTCATTGTTTAGTGGTGTTAATTTTAACAAAATGACCCCAATGAATCTAGATAAATATCATATATATTTGGAGCCATTCATTGTTTAGTGGTGTCAATTTTAGCTCAGTGTTTGTTCATTCATTCATTTACTCCATCAACGCTTCATTCTTTAACAACCATTGTTGCATTGCCATTGATCCATTCCTTCATTTGTTCTCTCTCTCTCCCTCTAAATGACCCCACTGAGGGGAATTCCTGGCTACGCCACTGCTACTAGCAATACTACTACTACTTCTTCAAAGTGTTCTTGCTGCTGAAGAAAATGATATTGATCAACATGGGCATTGCAATGGTTCAATGGGATTCTGTGATGAAAATGGCAACAAAACGGCGCCGATAGAGTCGGAGACGAGTCAGAGGTTTCTTGAAACAACTAAATACATCACTCTTGGGGCTCTGAAACCTAATCTACCAGTCTGTGGTGGTGATGGTGAAAGAGGAGCTCCTTACAGTAGGAGTTGCCTTCCTCCACCGTCAAACCCTGAGAGTAGAGGCTGTTCCCACAGGTGTAGGAAATAACCACTTGGTTTCTCTCACGTGGTTTACTGATGGGTGGGAAATAGATAATCGACACAGGATTTTTAGTCTCTAAATCATTCTTTGTGTCCTAATGCACTTGTAACCATCATATCATATCTACAAACTTGTGTGTTTCGAGTGCATTGAGATAAGAAGATAGAAGAGACACAAGATCATTATCCACAAATTATATGCATGCATTAAGTTTAAGTGTTTAGTTTGTGACATCGTCCATGATTGGTATTTCTTTGTTTTCTGTAAGTGTTTTCTCTTTTGCTTCTCTCTCATTGTACAATATAAGGCATGTATGCCTGTAAGTAATGTTTTAGAATTAGTATATGAATGCAAATGGGCTATTGCTTTGAGTGTGTTTTTAAAGTGTTTGAGCACTATGAAATTGAGCATTTAATTGAGTAAAAAATGGTTCAGTCTTAATGAATACTGATGATTTTAATATATTGAATTGGAGACACCTCGATGCTCTAAATTTCCAGGCAGTGGCTTGTAAAATTAATCACAAATAACCTCTCTACATATCTATTTTGGGGGTCATTTTTTCCTTCTACATCCATTTTTTTAGCACATCAAAAACTCTAATTTTTGTACAAATCAGCACAAATGACTGCAAATCAAAATCTCTAACTTTAGCAAATCAAAACACATCATTTATAAATCAAAACAGATGAGGGAGCACCTGGACTGTTGGGCACATCTTCTTGCATAATTAAACCCAAAAAAAAAAGAAAAACAAACAAAATTCAAAAAGTGAGAGGGACACGTGTCCCCTAACCCTTCAGCCTTGGTTACATTGAAAAATTCTACTATACACACACTATGAATAGTTAGTTACATATTATGTGTACCTCTACTTTCAAACATTAGATATATAAAGCAAATTTAATGTTGGTCACATTAAGTTGTAACCAACACACTTTAGAGCATGGAAGGGGATCACTTCGATCATAAACAAAACTACTATAATAGTGTTGTAACTAACAATACTTTGAAACATAAAGATCTTTTCCATCTTCCATCTTCAAAATGTTATATGGAATAAAGATCTTGTTTGATAGGTCTACTCAAATAAATTCTAAAAATATAAATTTTATGAAGAATGGATCTATAGGACGGAAGTAAAGATATTTTAAAATTTTGAATCAAAAACTTCAATTGCCTCCAGGTTGTTTATGCAAGTTTTAATAAAAATAAGGATATTTTGGCTAAGCACCGATGTGTGAGACTTAAAAGAGTTAACAAAATAAAAAATAAAAATAAAAATTTGTGAAACTTAACACATCTAACTTTAGGATGGAAAAAGCACATATAACTCCTAATCAATAAACTTTTTTTATAATTAAAATAAATATTAATTTCTACCAAAAGCTAATCTCCTTTTGTAAGTTTTTTTTTTTTTTTTTTTTTTTTTTTTTTTTTTTTTTTGAAATGATATTTTTTTTTTTTTTTTTTGGGGGGGGGGGGGGTTTGAAAAAATTATGTCCATTTACACTTTGGAAATGGTGTTGGACCAAGTCTCATAATCCATGATTCTTTCATACCAACCTCTTACCCTGTAAATTAACTATATAAAAAAAAATTAAAAAAAAATAACCAACCTCTTCACAATGAGAGTGAGGAGTATTAAAGCCCAAGACTTGACTTTGGCAATGGAGAATCATTTCAGGAGAATTATTTCAAGATAAATGCGTAATAATTAAATCCACACAAGTCCACTGGATTTTCAACGATTCTGAAGGTCAGTAGTCACCGTAGCGCTCGAGTACAAATCAAACTAAACAACAGTTCATTTGGTTAGCTTTGTGCATTCTTATTGGGAGATAAGGAATCTATTCTCAAAGGCAAAAATTGATAATTTCTCCTTACTATGAAGTTTTTTATTGAGCTAGTTTGTTCTGTAGTTTATTTATTTCTATTATGAGGTTTGTGTGGGTGATTTTCCGACCACACTGCCCGCTTAGTAATCAACTGGAGAGCACCGGCAGAATAGATGGCTTCAGCTAACCTGTAACAGAAAGAAAAGGCTCCGGCGGTGGTTCTTCCACCCGGGGGCACTCCGACGATCAAGTCAGTATATCTCTCAAAGATAATCATCTGCTAAACTTATTGCTCAAAACAAAAATTGCGTACCTTAGACCCACGGGGGTGCCTCTCTTTTATAGTTTACTCAACCCAAGTCCTACTAGAAGCATGACTTCTATGGACTTCAATTCTGTGTTTACTTGGATTCCTCAAAAGATAAAGATAAACTCCCTAAGAGCTTTATCCTTATCTTGGCCAAGTCCCCTCTTTGTCCTAGGACTCCTGTCCCTTATCCGTTTATCTCTGATTCCGACATATTCGGAGATAATCTCGGCCAATACAAGATTACCTCGGCATGACAACCAGGAGACGTGGCACCTCGGCTGACACGTCGGTATCACCTTGGCCACGTGTTGGTACTCAAAAAATATATCCCCACAACTGCCCCCTAGGTTCTATTACCTCGGCATTTTGAGGTGATAGAACCTATATCATTCCTCTTTCCAGTACATCGGGATAAGAACTCTTCAGCCGAGATCGTTCACTTCAGGCCGACATGTCTTCTTAAAAAAAACAAGAACTTCAAATGAATCCCTTCATGCGTATGAGCTGTCATACATCACTTTTCAACCGTTTTACTCACACGTTATATCCTCATTGGCTCGTGCCAGTGATGCGCTTGTAAGCTGTCTTTCATCCGTCTGCGCCGTCTGACGTGTGCGTTGCTCTAGGCGTAATAAATGCCCTGTTTTGCCGCCGTTTCAAGTTTTTTACAAAACTTTCCTTTCTTTTTTCGTTTCTTCACTTTTGCATTTGATGTTTCTCTCTCTAAAACCCGTTCTTTCGAATCCGCCATTGCTGAAGCTCCACGCTCTGCATTTGTCTTCCTGGTGGAACTTTCACCGTTCTGCCACTTCTGTAACTACCGACTGACTTCGACTGTCCTCACATCGACTTCATTTTTTCTGGTAAGCAACTGTTCCTTTTGTTCTCAATTCTTGACCATTTCTGGAATCTCCTGTTATTACTGCCTTGCTCAAATGTCTATTTTGTGAATCATACATTTGAATGTGTTTACTCCTTGATTTGGCCCTTGCCTATATCTTGAACACACGCACCGTTGCACCACTTCACTGTATTTTTGCCACTGATTTTGAGCCTGAATTTCTTGTTTTTTTATTTATTTATTTTTTTTATGCTTCTGAGTGCCCCACCTCTGTTCTTGATTCTGAAACTTCGTTCTTTGTTTCTTTTTTTTTTTTCTGTGTTTCTTTTCCAAATCTGTGCCCCCAATCTTTACTTTCATAGATTTAGGTTTGGGATTTGTCTATAGAACCTTCCAATTCTTAGGAAAAAATTGAAACAATCCTTACCAGCATATACCTAGGATTTCGCCGAGGTCCCAATAACCCCTTAAGAGCATCTTCTTTCTGAAACCCAGCCCTCTAATTTCAGGCCGACGTTATGGGTATGTGGAGGCACAGGGTTGACACCCCGACGAAATTAGAGCACTTCAGGCAGGAGTTCGAAATCCCA